ATGTTGCATTTATTGTACATATTATGTGTAGTTTTTTTACCAAATGGTGCTTTTTAAAATCCTGTAATAACAGAAAGTTTATAGATGTGTTTCTTTTTCTCCTACAAATAAAAAGTGAATGTTGGCTCATAGAGACGAGTCTGTTGTCCTACAGTGAGGGTCAGATGGGGGAGGAAAAGGTGTGTCACCTGGAGCGTGTCCACAGACACGGTCCCTAGTGTCACGTCTGCGTGCAAACACTAACACGCTCACTATTAATAGTTATCATTCTGGCACCTTTCCACCTCTGAGGATATTAAACGCGACCTCCGATCGACCGTTACAAGGAGTCAGAGAGACAAAGGCTTTCTGCACAAACAATGAGAACTTTTCCTGCTCCTAAAGCTGTTTTCTGTCTCCTCTTCACAGAGATTAAAGTTTTATCTAAACAACCCAGAAGTGACCTGAAGACCAAATCTGCTTCGGCACTTTCCCCTGTTAGCACGATAATAGAGCGAGCAGCTGATGACCTTCTGACTCTGGCAGGAGATGTGATGACGGTGGAGAGGAAGTTCATCCAGCTGCTTTAGAAATATGCTTTACCAAAACGGGAGAAAAGCTGGATTAAACTGACCTAAAGCTGCTCTCATTCGCTAGTTTTCCTCCTGATGTTTGATTAGCATCAAATCACATAAACCTGTCATTTCAAAGCACTTTATGGAAACTAATTAATCCAAGCTTTAATTTTTTAGCCTGTTAAAAACAGCTGATTTAGCTGCTGTTAGGAATAAATCAATTAAAAATTTTAATAGAAAAAGATCCTGAGAAATATTGGAGATGTCTGCAGGTCAGTGATGCTTGTTTTTATCAGTATAATTAATGCATCATCGTTCTTTACACCCATTAGAATCTGATGGAAACCTTAATGTTTTCAATAAAGGCTGATTCACAACATTTGAACAAAGATACAAAACATCCACATTATGATGTAGATGGAACTAAAAACTTATTTTAATATGCGGCTTTTGTAAGATGACATTTTTTATATTTGTGCAATAATTGTGATGCACGAACTGGAGCACTTTTTTTATCTCATCTATTTCATCATGTTGCTGAATACTTACAAACATGCAATATTAAAACATCTTCAAAATAAAAACATCACAAAACAAACAATCCCAATACGTAAGTACAATAAAATGTGGAGTAATATGAGCTTAAAGGCCCTCATTTAAAAAATGTGCAACACGATGAATGTCTTCTACTGTTAGCAAAGCTGTTACCTACTTTACTCAGTTCTTAAAATAAATGCTTATATAAAACATATTTAGGCCTAAAACTTT